TTATTGTTATTTGGCAGAAAAAGTGGTAATTTATTTAATGATGGTAAAATGAGTCTTCTTATTGCATTATGGCCTTTGTTCGGAAACAAATTTTACATGCCTCCAAAGACTCACACCTTACACAGATATGTGAAGTTTTGTCAAAATCAGGATATTTAATTCTGGTGACAGATTTTTGAGGATATTAAGCTACACTATAACTATCAATGATCCTGTGGAAATCATGCTGAATAGAATTTTCAACATGTTTTTGAAAGTTATTGACCGATGAAATAAAAAAAGAAAATCACCCTTTTCATTAGATGGAGGACAAGGACAAGCTTGCAAAGTCGATTTTTTTGTGTGTGTCAAATAATCAGACTGATACCAGTACTTTAAAAAAGTTGTTCAGAATAAGGATATCTATTAAATCATATGAATTATTTTTATTTAAGGTATATTAAACCATTATCAAGCATATAAAATGTGATGGTGCCTCCAATGGTCGTGTGCCTGAGTAGCAAGCGAAATTGATATCAGCAGATAAGAGCTGCCACGATCGCAGTTAAGGGCAGAAATCATTTAACATGCCAGTTTACCTTCGCAACAGAATGAGAGGAGGTTCAAAGTGGATGCATGGCACTGTGAAACAACAGACAGGCCCAGTGAGGACAGGACTTGCTTATGATATGGCAGAAAGAGTACGAGTAGTATGCTATTCCAAAATGAGCTGTGGTGTTTGGGTCTTGTGTGTTTTCAAAGAATCGGTTGAAGACTCACAGATATGCAAAAGACAGTCACTTGTTGTCAAGTGGAGTGAACTGTTGTCTATAATATAATATAATATAAAACTAGGGCTGTCAAAATTAATGGATGAGCGATTCATTTTTTTTCAGTTTACATGTTAAAAATATTTAACGCAGCATCCATTTTTTCCTGGCATCCCTTTGGCTATCATTACAGTAGACTATATGAACAACACGCTATCAAGCACGATAAGACGCAAAAGTGAAGTTACTGGTGCTGAGATCAGCTCTCTGTAAATCCGACACGTGCACGCGCACAGAAAGCAGCTTCAGACAGTGAGCCAGTAGCGCGAGAAGCGCAGTGATTTCTCTTTCGCGGACAAAAACCTGTTTTATGCAGTCTATGACAAAAACACACACAATTATGTCAAAATGCTCGTTTTTGGCCAGTGACCTCGTAACCACAGTCGTAAATGAGTTTGTCCAGGGGTTTCAAACTTAGGGCTGGGACAATAAATCGATGCATCGCAATTCGTGGATCAATTCTGAGATTTTCGGAATGCATTGTGACTTTCTCTCGAATCAATTCTGAGCTTAGTTTTTAGCAGCAGATGGTGCTCTAGGCTAGTTTTTAACGGCACACTCAAATGCTCACGAAGAAGAAAGCTTGTGCGTTCGGCTGAGTACACTCTAAAAAATGCTGGGTTGTTTCAACCCAACTTGTGGGTCAAATATGGACTAACCCAACTTTTGGGTTAAAAATTTAATAAAAAAATGTAACCCAGCAGCTGGGTTAGTCCATCTTTGACCCAAAGTTGGGTTGAAACAACCCAGAATTTTTTAGAGTGTAATGTAAGAGGTTAAATGTACTTGCACATCGGCTTTTATGATGCAAGATTAATGTAAACACAGCCCACTGCAAACATCCTTGTAATTCACTTCAACCTTTTCGAACTTTATGAATGATTATTTTAGGTTTAAATTGTGCGTGTGTAAAGAACTGGAAGCAAGCAGAATATGACTATTTCTAAAGCATGCAGTGCCATCTGCTGTTAAAAACTAAGCTCAGAATCGATTCAAGAGAGAATGGCGATGCCTTCGGAAAATCTCAGAATCGATGCAGAATCCTTTCTCGATTCGCGATGCATCCATTTATTGTCCCAGCCCTAGTCAAACTCAGTTCCTGGAGGGCCGGAGCCCTGCAGAGTTTTGTTCCAAACCTGCTGCAACACATATACCATGTCATTTACAAATAAGCCTGAAGGACTTGATAAATTGGATCAGGTGTGTTTAATTAGGGTTGAATCTAAACTCTGCAGAGCTCTGGCCCTCCAGGAGTTGAGTTTGACACCCCTGACTTAGACAGTCCTAAATGACCAGGGTTGCCAGGTTTTCACAAGAAAACCTGCCCAATCGCTACTCAAAACTAGCCCAAAACTATCCCATTAGAGCGGGGGAACTATGACGTCAGAACCCGGAAGAGTAATTCACCGCAGTTTCCTCCAAGATTTTCTTATGGGGTTTTATAATGGGGTTTTTCAATTTATGAGTAAAATAAAGCCTGTGGTAAACATAACTTGAAGATACTTCTGCGTTTTGTTCTACAATGTAAACTGCACACACTCACAGCCCAAACGTTCTTATTTAGTTACTTATTAAAAACATACGTTTTCAAAAATGAACATAACTGCTTCAGAATTTTTGTTTTGGGTATGGATGTGTGTAATTTACGTTGTAGAACAAAATGTAGACATATCATCAAGTTATGTTTACCACAGGCTTTATTTTACTCATAAATTGAAAAACCCCATTATAAAACCCCATAGGAAAATCTCGGAACCCGCGGCGAATTACTCTTCCGGGTTCTGACGTCATAGTTCCCCCACTCTATTGCGTTTCGAGGGGGTCCCCAGTTAAAAATCGTGTTCCTGGGGGTAAAATACACGTTTTTTGGCGAGGTTCCCCTACTAAAATTCGCATTCCAGGGGATAAATATCATGTTATTGGAGTCGCTTAAACCCACGGACATGAAAAACAACCGGCGGCAACAGTTCAATTGCTTAATTTCTGAATCAATCAAATGTTTGAACGAATCGGTTGAATGAACAACTCGCTTATGAAGTCTATGACTTGCCGCCACCTACTGGTAGTTTAAGTTTGATAATGAGTGTATAATTTTTTTACATAATCATTTCATATTTAAATATTCATTAAAAACATTATAAACATACAAATGTATTATCGTTATGCAAGGCTGAATCTAAATATTTCTTTCTAAGGCTACGTTTACACGACAACGATGTAGTCAAAAACGGAAAAATGTTTGTCCCTTGTGTTTTTAAAAAGTTTCACGTATACACGATGATGTTTTCAAAACGATTCACATTTATACATATCCGCGAAAACGGCCAAAAACGCTGTATTACGTATGTCAGGCCAGTAGTTGGCTCTGTCACCTTGTTAGTAAACAGTATCTGTAGGGAAGTGACGTATATGATGCGTCTCCGCTGTTGGTTGTAATATTGGTGAAGTAAATCCACACTTTGCTGAAGAAGCGTTAGCAAACTCTTAAACAACAACGACAGTACCATGTACTCCGCCATTGTTGTGTATGCTTTTTCGCGCTTGCCTTTAAAATCGACACGTACTGCGCATCTCTACATACCAAACACGTACTACGCACGCGCATGACGTCACCATTTTCAAAGATTCCCGTTTTGGGTGTTTACACGGAAACGACAACGGTGGCGTTTTCAAAAACTTGCACTTTGAAACTCGTTTTCAAAAATATGCGTTTTCAGTTCCCAAAACGCCGTTGACGTGTAAACGAACAGGCAAAATGCATAAAAAATTTCCCGTTTTTGGCTGAAAACATTGTCGTGTAAACGGCCCCTAACGCTACTTTTTGTAATGTCTATTCAATGCTTTACTCATCTAACACAAAATTTTTCTTTTGAAGGTTAATTTCTCAGCCAAAATTGATGTGCAGTTAATTTAATTAATCGGCACATCATGTAATTGATTAGATTTTCCAAAAAATTTAATGCTTGACAGCCCTAAATATAACATAATATACAAAATAAAGTTTGCAATGTACAAATTATACACTTACATTTAAACAGGATCAATTAAAATCATTATTTGAATCAATTATCTAAACAGTGAATATCTGATTTCCATCCTACCTTCACACCATCTGTCTTCTTGCTGACCCCACTCTTTCCTCCTGTATGAGAGACAAAGAAAAAGAGTGAAATTGCTATAAGAAAGGGCACAAAAGCCCAGAAAAGCATAGTGAGGGGCATAGCACAGCTCAGCTCTCCAGATGGATTTTGGCTCTGGAGGATCTGTTGACTTTCTAAAATAGGTCCTGGGAGTTTCCAGCATACATAATCACATACTCCCACACTCCAGGAACGCTTCACTTTTAAAAGCTGCTCTAAACAAACAAGCAGGAACAGGGAGTGAATATCAAATGTTAAAAAAATATGGGTCCGCCTTTATATTAAGTGGCCTTAACTACTATGTACTTACATAAAAAAAAAAAAAGTGCAATGTACTTATTTTGTTCATATTGTATTGCAAAACACTTTTGATGCTATTGAGGTGGGATATGGGTAAGGTTAGGGATAGGTTTGGTGGTATGGGTAGGTTTAAGGGTGGGTCAACAGTCTAATTATAAATGTAATTACAGAAATTAAATACAGATGTAATTACATGCAGGTATTTTTAAAATATAAGTACAATGTAGAAACATGTATGTACACAATAAGTGCATTGTACCAAATTATTAATTTAAATGTAAGTACATAGTAGTTAAGGCCACTTAATTCAAAGTGGGACCAAAATATTAATACATTTAGATTTTAACCAAAAAAATAACAAGAAGCACACAAGAATTAGTCCAAAAATAAAAGACTCACGATAGCCAAAATAAGTAATTTTTTGAGGATACATTAAAAAAAAAACTGTTACGGGATGGATATTTCCTTACTTTTGTTTATTTTTATCAAAAACTTTGTTACTTCAAATGTGTAAAAAGTGCAGGTACTCTAAACATATAAACATTGTCTTGATCTAAGCATTACACGCTTGACCTGTATCACAATTTAAATGTTATAATAATGGACAGAGAGAGTTACTAAAACCTAAAAGTGCACTGCTGACTCAAGCCAGTATGTTTCCGCTGGACATTATCTTAAAGTAGTTAGTGGAGAATTACCGCTCCGGGTAAAAATAGACAGGATGTGATGAATGATCAAGAGTGTTTGGGAGTGATAGAATGGCCTGTGCAAAAGCTACGGCTGCTACACTTGAACAGGTGGAGCAATCTATTTTAGATCGGACATTGGATAGGAAGAGGAATTAAAATAATGGTAATGATAATTCAGTGGTAATTCATTCAGGAAAATTACATGTTCTTCCACCTTGGTCCATAAAAGTTTTATTTCACTAATAAATACGGTGAATGTTAACATGAATAAATACACATTTCTATATATTTTTATTTCCTTTTCAAACAATCATTTGTCAAACCAACATTCAAAGTATGTCTTTTCTAATTAAAAAAAGAATTAATAGTTAAAAAAGAATTAATTTTTATTTCTACTTCAGACATTCAAATTCAAATTGCAATTCTGCATCTTGTTTGCTACCTCAATTCAAATTCTGGAACTGAATTAGAATTCAAAATGCATTCTTGTATTCAGTTCAGAGCGGTGTACAACTTTGATTGTTAAGGACTAATAGCCTGATTTTCACCCATCATTTATTCAAATGAAGCCACTCTGGGCACAATTGTTATTATTCATTCTCTGCAACCTTTCAGTTACGAGCCCGGAACTTTAAATGCAACACATATGTGACCCTGGAGCACAAAAGCAGTGTTAAGTCGCTGGGGTATATTTGTAGCAATAGCCAAAAATACATTGTATGGGTCAAAATTATTGATTTATGCCAAAAATCATTAGGATATTAAGTAAAGATCATGTTCCATGAAGATATTTTGTAAATTTGTTACAATAAATATATCAAAACTTAATTTTTGATTAGTAATATGCATTGCTAAGAACTTCATTTGGACAACTTTAAAGGCCATTTTCTCAATATTTTGATTTTTTTGCACCCTCAGATTCCAGATTTTCAAATAGTTGTATCTCGGTCAAATATTGTCCTATCCTGACAAACCGGACATCAATTGAAAGCTTACAGATGATGTATAAATCTCAATTTCGAAAAATGTACCCTTATGACTGGTTTTGTGGTCCAGGGTCACATATGAGAGCTTCTCACAGTCTTATACGAACTTACCTTGAGCTTTCTTCTAGCATTGAACTTCTTCAAGCACTCAACAGTCTCCTGTCTGTGCATGCAAGATGCAACAGTGGAGCGATGCTAAAAGCAAACAGAGGTGAAACCAAAGGTTATTTGGAGAATTTGGAGAATCTGCAGCCATCTCCAGAACATGTAATATTTATATAATAAAAGAACATTGAATTAGTCATCTAAAAAATATTTCCTTTATATCTTCCTGGCTGTCAAAATGCTAAAAAAAGGTCTGAAAATATTTACTCAAGTACACTGTTTATGAAACACGAGCAGAGCAAATTAATGTGTACAGTAAAGGCCTGTTCACACAAAGAATGATGACTATAAAGGTAATTATAATGATAGCATCCACACCAATGCACGATAATGTTCTGTTTATTATAAGCGTGCACTGCAGTTTTGTTGTCTGCTGCTTTAAATGCTTGAGCTCTTAAAAGCAGGATGGATTCTGATGGGCTGTTATTGTTTTTAATGTTCATCAGATGGGAAAAATCCTTTTGAAAGTTATTGTTTCATTATCATTATAGCTATGGTGTGAACTCTGCTGTTCTTTGCAATTTATTGGTCAGTTCTGTTCGTATTTAATCTTGTTCTGAACTTGATGTACTAATTCATTTGCTGACTAAATTAACTGAATTCATGGCCCTAAGACAAAACACGTATATATGTTCTAAAGTACTGATGGAAGGATAGAAATGGCATTTCAGTTGTAAACTCACTGAGATCCACGGGTGCTTGAGTACCTCCGCAGCAGTGATGCGTTTAGATGGGTTGATGGTCAGCATCTTATTAATAAGATCTTTCGCCTCAGGGGTGACTGTGTCCCACTCGGGTGAAGGAAACTGTGGGTGCAACAGAGCGATCCAAGTGTTAATCAGAGATCCATCAGCACTTCTGGCATTATCATCAATATTATATGAAGGAAGCTTAAACTGACATCATAGGCACCAGCTTTAATTTGCTGATAGAGTCTATGCTGGTCTTCATCCCAAAAGGGTGGGTATCCAACCAGCAGGATGTAGAGAATCACACCTAAAGGGAAATTGAGATGGATGGGTTAGGAGAAATTGTTTACAATATTGTGCAAGCTAAGGAAAGACCAAGGAGTGTTATAACTTTTTTTATGTGTCTCAAATGTGCAGTGTTACCAAATTGTTATTTATTTTTTATTTGTATAATTGGGGTTGTACAAATAAATAAATACATTTTGAAAATGCATTCACAGGAAAGATTACAGAGTTGTAGGTTGTGTTATTGGGCTACTTTCATAATGTACCATGGCTGCTAAAACATTTATTTGTAAACAGAGATTAAAATAAAAATAGATTATTTTTACTAATGAGTATTGATCTTTAAAATAAAGAACATAGAATAAATTGATTAAAAACTTTTATTTTATGGCCCTTTATTGCAGTGGTTCCCAACCTTTTTTCCAGGAGACCCCTATTTTAACATTCAAAATTTGTAACGACCCTCATAATAATAATAATAATAATAATAATAATAATAATAATAATAATAATAATAACAATTAATAAAATAAATCAGTTATGTTTTTAATAAAATGCAACGACAGCAGAAACATCGAAAAAAATTTACATTAACAAAAATTTTAATTTTGATTTTAAATGAATTTAAAAAAAAGTTGGTTGGATGACTACAACATAACATGTTATGTATTAATATGTATTACATGTTAAAGTTTTGGGGGGAAAAAAATATATGTATGTATAAAATGACGAACCTCATATTTCAGGCTTTAAACCATTTTAAAGAAAAGGGATATGAATCAAAATGATGAATATTTGCTCTGTTAATAATTCTAAATACTATATTATCCAGATTGTTTAGATTATTAGAATGCACATTAGCTTATTTTTCATCAACCGGTTAAACTTTACAACAGTACTTAAAAATTTGGTCTGATTTTTGCATTTTTCTGAACAAATATGGCAGAAAATGTAAATCCACTGTCTGCCAGCAGGTGGCGCTTATGGAACAGCAGTAATAGAACCTTTTCCGCAGTAACCGCTGTAAACAAAGCAGCGCTGCGCTTATAAACACATTGCTTTATTAGGAAGTATACGGAGGGAGGATGAAAAGGAAATGGCATCAAAACTTTTCTGAAGGCAGTTGGTTCTCTTCAGAGATACATTCATATAATGCATTCATACTTTAATTCATATAATTTCCCTCTGTAAGACCTGTCACTGCATCCCACCATAGTTTCACACAAAACAAAACGCTGCACCTGCATGAGACTGCTGCTAACTTTGCTTAATGCTGTATTTACTGTGAGTTTTTCCAAATCGCAGTAATCAAATACAGTTTTAATGATAATTAAAATATTAAACGTAATACTAACTTTTGGGAATTTGATCATGCTTTTCGTCAAACTGTTACAGTTTCATCCCTATTTGTAAATCTCAAACTACAGTGAGCTCAGTGAGTAGGCTTTGGGCTGGAATTTTTTTCTGGGAGCTGGCAACCCTGCATTTAACATGTGCATTAATAGAGTGCTGGTCCATCCTAACAGCTTCCAATCTGCTCTCCTAAATATATAATATGACTGCAGAGATTTGCTCCCATTTAGAGCATCAAGGACTGATTCTGGGTTGATGTGGTTTGACTTGATGATGGCAAAAACCAAAAGTGTTTTACACCAGACTCTTAATGGATCTCACTTTGTGCACAAGGCTGTTGTCATCCCAGAACAGAAAAGGAGCTCCTCAAACTGTTGTCACAAATTGGGAAAATACTATTCTCTAAAATGTCACTGTATACTGTTGCTACACAAAATGAAAGAGTGGAGCTTTATGATCAATACAATAGCAATCACATTTGTGATGATAACACACGTGTGTTATCTTTTCCGGAGCTATCTGGTATTTATGTGAATGCAACTACAGAATACGGGAAAGCTCTGGTTGTATGAAAGAACAAAATCATGCAATGCCAGAACAGTTACTGGAACAACTTTTTGGGAAATTCAGTGAAATATAGTGTACTGTACAACGGGGCTAAAGGCACACCTTAACACATATACAACACTGACATATATTGATGTTTGATGCAAAAATATGAAAAAACTAACCACATGCCCACAGGTCTACAGCTTTTCCATAAGGGTCTTTCCGTAAGACTTCAGGGGACAGGTAACCAGGAGTGCCAGCAAACCCTGATGTGAAGAAGAAGAAGAAGAAGAAAAAAGCATTCATAACCTTTATTTGAGCCTGTATTGAATAAATTGAAAATGAGCTACATGAAAAAAAGAAAAGGTAAAGATAATTACATTACATTTGAACAGAATTCACATATAGACTATTACAATAACAGCTTAAGCCTCCAGTCACACTTGGATCCCACGAAATCAATACCTGGTAGGGAGCTAGTTTTGATCTGGGATAGAGATCACAGACTGAAATGACAGAAATTAACCGATCAATCAGCTGTGAGCAAATGCACATTTCTTGAGGCAAAGACACAGGGGGAGCAACTTTATGGCATTAAAGCGGTTCACAGTTAAAAAAATTTTTTATCACAAGCCTTACATTTAAATTAATACAACTATTCACATATAAATATAGTAAGGTCTAAGATTGTGAATCTATATACAAATTCTAGTTGCCTTCTTAGACTTTTGCGACAGCAGCAGTGTCTCTTCCGGCTCTGTAAACATCATAAGTGTGATTAAGTACATCTGTTCAACTACTCGTTAATGTAAATATCTAATCAGCCAATCACATCAACTCAATGCATGAAGGCATGTAGGAATGGATAAGACGATTTGCTGAAGTTCAACCCGAACATCTGAATGGGGAAGAAATGTGATTTAAGTGACTTTGAATGTGGCACGGATGTTGGTGCCAGACGGTCTGGTTTGAGTATTTCAGAAACTGCTAATTTTCACACATAAACCATCTCTAGGGTTTACAGAGAATGGTCTGAAAAAGAGAAGATATCCAGTGAGAGGCAGTTCTGTGGGCGAAAATGCCTTGTTGATGTTTCAAGCTGAGCAACACTAACTCAAATAACCACTCTTTACAACCAAGGTATGGAGAGGAGCATGTCTGAATGCACAGCATATCAAACCTTGAAGCAGATGGACTACAGCAGTGGAAGACCACACCAGGTGCCACTCCTGTCAGCTAAGAACAGGAAACTGAGGCTAAGTTAACACAAGCTCATCAAAACGGGACAAAAGAAGATTGGAAAAAACATTGCCTGGTCTGATGAGTCTTGATTTCTGCCGCAACATTCAGATGGTAGGGTCATAATTTGTCATAAACAACATGAAAGGATGGATCCATCCTGCCTTGTATCAACAGATAAGACTGCTGGCGCTCATGTAATGGTGTGAGGGATATTTTCTTGGTACACTTTGGGCCCCTTAATACCAAATGAGCATCGTTTAAATGCCACAGTCTACCTGAGCATTGTTGCTGACCATGTCCATCGCTTTATGACCAAAGTGTACCCATAAAAAAATTTTTTATCACAAGCCTTACATTTAAATTAATACAACTATTCACATATAAATATAGTAAGGTCTAAGATTGTGAATCTATATACAAATTCTAGTTGCCTTCTTAGACTTTTGCGACAGCAGCAGTGTCTCTTCCGGCTCTGTAAACATCATAAGTGTGATTAAGTACATCTGTTCAACTACTCGTTAATGTAAATATCTAATCAGCCAATCACATCAACTCAATGCATGAAGGCATGTAGGAATGGATAAGACGATTTGCTGAAGTTCAACCCGAACATCTGAATGGGGAAGAAATGTGATTTAAGTGACTTTGAATGTGGCACGGATGTTGGTGCCAGACGGTCTGGTTTGAGTATTTCAGAAACTGCTAATTTTCACACATAAACCATCTCTAGGGTTTACAGAGAATGGTCTGAAAAAGAGAAGATATCCAGTGAGAGGCAGTTCTGTGGGCGAAAATGCCTTGTTGATGTTTCAAGCTGAGCAACACTAACTCAAATAACCACTCTTTACAACCAAGGTATGGAGAGGAGCATGTCTGAATGCACAGCATATCAAACCTTGAAGCAGATGGACTACAGCAGTGGAAGACCACACCAGGTGCCACTCCTGTCAGCTAAGAACAGGAAACTGAGGCTAAGTTAACACAAGCTCATCAAAACGGGACAAAAGAAGATTGGAAAAAACATTGCCTGGTCTGATGAGTCTTGATTTCTGCCGCAACATTCAGATGGTAGGGTCATAATTTGTCATAAACAACATGAAAGGATGGATCCATCCTGCCTTGTATCAACAGATAAGACTGCTGGCGCTCATGTAATGGTGTGAGGGATATTTTCTTGGTACACTTTGGGCCCCTTAATACCAAATGAGCATCGTTTAAATGCCACAGTCTACCTGAGCATTGTTGCTGACCATGTCCATCGCTTTATGACCAAAGTGTACCCAACTTGTGATGGCTACTTCCAGCAGGACAATGCACCATGTCACAAATCATCTCAAACTGATTTCATGAACATGATAGTGAGTTCACTATACTCAAATGGTTTCCACAGTCACCAGATCTCAGTTCAATAGAGCATTTTTGGGATGTGATGAAACGGGAGATTTGCATCATGGATGTGCAAAGGGCAAATCTGCAGCAACTGCGCGATGTTATCATGTCAATATTGACCAAAATCTCAGCGGAATGTTTCCGGCACCTTGTTGAATCTACTGTGTGCCAGTTCTGAAGGTCCAACCTGGTACTAGCCCCTAATAAAGTGTACCTCATAAAGTGGCCAGTTAGTGTATAATCAGACAACATCAAAGACTTTCATTTGATTTAAATAATTGAGAATTGCATATATATTGCATATATGCACTCTTCCAGCCAGGAAACATACACAAACAACTGTCACACAGGTTGCTTAGGCTATCAACAAGGAAACCTCCTCTTGATAAAAAAGCATCCTGGCCCCGAATTATGTAATGTTATGCCTCAATTTCAGGCAAATGTTTCTGAGCCACATAAAATTTGTCGTAACCAAATACTGGACTCAAATACAAGTACAAGCGCTCATGAGAAATAAGTACTCAAGTAGAAGAAAAAGTAATGGTGATAATAATTACTTGAGTAACAGTAAAAAAAAGTATCAATTGAAGACTTCTTAGGTAGTTCTGAAGATCTGATTCAGAACATGTAAAGTAATGAAGGTTGAGTCAAATAAACATTATATACATTAGGGATGTTTTGTCCCCATTATGTGCGAAAGAGTTATTGAATAAATTGAAAATGAGCTACATGAAAAAAAGAAAAGGTAAAGATAATTACATTACATTTGAACAGAATTCACATATAGACTATTACAATAACAGCTTAAGCCTCCAGTCACACTTGGATCCCACGAAATCAATACCTGGTAGGGAGCTAGTTTTGATCTGGGATAGAGATCACAGACTGAAATGACAGAAATTAACCGATCAATCAGCTGTGAGCAAATGCACATTTCTTGAGGCAAAGACACAGGGGGAGCAACTTTATGGCATTAAAGCGGTTCACAGTTAAAAAAATTTTTTATCACAAGCCTTACATTTAAATTAATACAACTATTCACATATAAATATAGTAAGGTCTAAGATTGTGAATCTATATACAAATTCTAGTTGCCTTCTTAGACTTTTGCGACAGCAGCAGTGTCTCTTCCGGCTCTGTAAACATCATAAGTGTGATTAAGTACATCTGTTCAACTACTCGTTAATGTAAATATCTAATCAGCCAATCACATCAACTCAATGCATGAAGGCATGTAGGAATGGATAAGACGATTTGCTGAAGTTCAACCCGAACATCTGAATGGGGAAGAAATGTGATTTAAGTGACTTTGAATGTGGCACGGATGTTGGTGCCAGACGGTCTGGTTTGAGTATTTCAGAAACTGCTAATTTTCACACATAAACCATCTCTAGGGTTTACAGAGAATGGTCTGAAAAAGAGAAGATATCCAGTGAGAGGCAGTTCTGTGGGCGAAAATGCCTTGTTGATGTTTCAAGCTGAGCAACACTAACTCAAATAACCACTCTTTACAACCAAGGTATGGAGAGGAGCATGTCTGAATGCACAGCATATCAAACCTTGAAGCAGATGGACTACAGCAGTGGAAGACCACACCAGGTGCCACTCCTGTCAGCTAAGAACAGGAAACTGAGGCTAAGTTAACACAAGCTCATCAAAACGGGACAAAAGAAGATTGGAAAAAACATTGCCTGGTCTGATGAGTCTTGATTTCTGCCGCAACATTCAGATGGTAGGGTCATAATTTGTCATAAACAACATGAAAGGATGGATCCATCCTGCCTTGTATCAACAGATAAGACTGCTGGCGCTCATGTAATGGTGTGAGGGATATTTTCTTGGTACACTTTGGGCCCCTTAATACCAAATGAGCATCGTTTAAATGCCACAGTCTACCTGAGCATTGTTGCTGACCATGTCCATCGCTTTATGACCAAAGTGTACCCAACTTGTGATGGCTACTTCCAGCAGGACAATGCACCATGTCACAAATCATCTCAAACTGATTTCATGAACATGATAGTGAGTTCACTATACTCAAATGGTTTCCACAGTCACCAGATCTCAGTTCAATAGAGCATTTTTGGGATGTGATGAAACGGGAGATTTGCATCATGGATGTGCAAAGGGCAAATCTGCAGCAACTGCGCGATGTTATCATGTCAATATTGACCAAAATCTCAGCGGAATGTTTCCGGCACCTTGTTGAATCTACTGTGTGCCAGTTCTGAAGGTCCAACCTGGTACTAGCCCCTAATAAAGTGTACCTCATAAAGTGGCCAGTTAGTGTATAATCAGACAACATCAAAGACTTTCATTTGATTTAAATAATTGAGAATTGCATATATATTGCATATATGCACTCTTCCAGCCAGGAAACATACACAAACAACTGTCACACAGGTTGCTTAGGCTATCAACAAGGAAACCTCCTCTTGATAAAAAAGCATCCTGGCCCCGAATTATGTAATGTTATGCCTCACTTTCAGGCAAATGTTTCTGAGCCACATAAAATTTGTCGTAACCAAATACTGGACTCAAATACAAGTACAAGCGCTCATGAGAAATAAGTACTCAAGTAGAAGAAAAAGTAATGGTGATAATAATTACTTGAGTAACAGTAAAAAAAAAGTATCAATTGAAGACTTCTTAGGTAGTTCTGAAGATCTGATTCAGAACATGTAAGGTAATGAAGGTGAAGTCAATTAAGCATATATTACATGAGGGATGTTTTGTCCCCATTATGTGCGAAAGAGTGTGAGGCGTGTTAAAACCCACAGAAATCTGAACAAGATGGCACTAAGGCCCAATGATATGTACATCAAAACATCCAGAGGGGCAGAGCTTAAATTCACATACCGCCAACTAATGATGTAGCATTGAAGTGACTCATATGAAAAAGAACATAAATTCATATGTTGTGTGTGTCAAATGCATAAAGATTAAAATCAGAACAAAAGCACATGCAGATATTCAAAATCAACAGCACTGCATTTCATATACTTAATAAGGTAACACTTTAGTTTAGGAACCAATTCTCACTATTAACTAGTTGCTTATTAGCATGCATATTACTAGCAAATCGGCTGTTTATTAGTACTTATAAAGCACATATTAATGTCTTATTCTGCATGGCCATATTTTAGATCCCTTAATCCGTACTCATACCTAAACTTAACAGCTACCTTACTAACTATTAATAACCAGCAAATTAGGAGTTTATTGAGCCAAAAGTTAATAAATAGTGATAATTGGTTCCCAAACTAAAGTGTGACCCTTAATATTATGTGAAGATATCTTTGGAGTGTTAATCTATGCTTTGTGCAATTCTATATCAATGATATTTAGTGGTATAATAAATGGGTCATTACCAAACCAAGCCTGTTGGTCCCCTTCAACCTCAATGGCAAGGCCAAAGTCTGCTAACTTCACAGCTGCACCTTTGGATTTCGAAGCCAGAAGCAGGTTCTCTGGCTAGAAACATGGAAACAAACGGGACAAAAAGGGAAAAAGATTCATGGATAAAATGCTAATGAACATTTAGCTGTTTTTTCCTCCAACATATTACGATATACAAATATTGGAGTGGTATTTCACTAAAGTTATTTGTTCAAAACACAATTGAAATGTACATTTTGAAATTACTTGTACACCCCACATAAGCAGAAACACCCATTACTTGTGTGGAAAATGCACTTTCACATCAAATGCTTAAAATTAGAATCAGTGCACAAGTTTGTATAATCAAATGCAAACTAGTATAACATCTTTAATACTTTATACACACCAGATATAAACTTTATTAACTCATATAAACTGGACTGGTTCAGTTGTAAGTATGATGGTGCCATGCCTCTTCTCTGGTTAATTCAGTAAATTGTGTTGCCTCGATGTTATTAGACGTTATTAGATGCAGCTTTTGATACTATCGTTTATTGTATCTTAATTGTACATCTCAGGCAGTGCACTGGCATTTAGAGCTTGGTCCTAAGTGTCATTTTCAGTTGGGATTAGGAACTGCTCATCATCACCTGTCCACATCAGATGTGGGGTGCCCCAAGGCTCGGTTTTAGGACCTGTTGTATTCTTTTTATCATGCTGTAATTTGAGACAATTTAAAACATTTGAAGCATGGTGATAATTTTTTGTTTAATCCCTTTTTGACCATTTGGCTGATATTGGTTAGCTAATAGTTTTCTCCAGCTAAATGAGGACAAGACAGTTATTTTTGGTTGAAACGTATGTGGTAACACTGATGTTACTGACAATTTTGGGTCTCTGCAGTGGCAATAAGCACTCCAATGTTAAAAATATGGGTGTAATTTTTGTTATTTGGTGCTCTAAATTTTTTTCAAAATCTCACAAATGAAATCTGTCCTCCCTTTTAACAATTTAGAGAAAATTATACGTGCTTTCATTTCATCCTATCTGAACTACTGAAATGCACTGTACTTGAGAAGATTGGCCAAAATGCTTCTGTTGAGGCTTTTAACAAATACCACAAAGCCACCTGTGCTGACCTTTTTTATCACTAACTACAGACGATCTCTTGTAGTTTCGAAAGAACACATGAAAGATGTGCATATGAGAAACCCAGAATCCATTTTTTTGCAAGATTCTGCAAGTTTGTAAATTTTTTGACTGCAAATTCAATTATATTAGTACTACAACTGTAATGTATTGCATTGTATTACATATAAGTAATTGTTTTTTAACCACTTTTCATAAAAAAAATAATCATTGTGCATGCTATAGAGACCCCCAATCTGAAGTATTGATGATTTATTCTACATTCAGAGTTCAAATGTTTTTGAATTACTTTTGCATCTATTAATTTAGCATGAGTTGTATGGCAAAAAATAATACTCTATGCCAAAACTCTGCCACTTGTGGGCTCTCATCGTGTAGCTCTCACTCCGAGTGTGAATGTGGTAACCTGTTAATAAGGACACTAAAACGTGCTGCTCACACAGTACATGTAAAATAGGCTAAAATATTTAAGATGGAATAAATAGTCTATTAGCTAATAAATAACATAGAGCCTAGTGCACTTCTCCCTAAGGCAAGCTGCATTCATTTGAAATATTGGATATTCCAGCATTGCATAATATATTTTTTTTATGATAAGTGTGGTGTAAATATAACTGAAAGTTTGAGATTGTTTTGAAGCAAGTGTTCTGTCTGGGGGCCACAAAGAAGTGAGAGTGCTAATGACAGAGGTTTAACATCAATTATAATGAAATACCTTTAAGTCTCTGTGCACGACGCCCATCTGATGGCAATGAAGTACTGCCTCCAAAATCTGCTGGATGCAATGGCTTCAGGGGGGAAAAAACAAACTTTTACTCAAATACATTGGAATATACTGGCCACACAGGATTTCAACACATGACATGATGTATATACATTTTAACATGTCAGTTGTACACATTCCAGTTTTTTTTCTTTTGCTTGCTTTAGAATAAAAAAAAGGTATTTTATTTGCTGTAGAATAATAATAATAATAAAAAAAGCTATTTTCTGTATCACTAAAGTGAATGTTATGAAGTCTGATTAAAATTAAAATGACAGTTTTGGCAAAATTTGTGAGTTTTCTGGCTCTTGTCAAGGCATGGAGACTTAACTTTGGACTATTTAAGTTAGTGTGCTTTTATGTATTTGAATATTGTCCATTATTTGTGTAATGATTTTATACATACAGTCCATTTGTGTTGTGCCGATAGCCCACCCACCTGGCATCTGCTTCGCTGTAATATTCCCTGGCAACAATGTCTTCAAACAGCTCACCACCCGTTACTCTGAACCACACGAATGAGCAAGAATGAGCAAGTAATGGCACTAGTTACAGTATTAATTGACTTGAGACAGCAGTTTATTTATGGGAGTTTCTTCAACTGTAGGCACTTCCGCCTCTGTGAACTTTTCACTTTCCTCTCTCTCACTAGTTGGTTTCATTTGTCTCCTAACAATTTCCAGCAGTGTATACCAGGGGTGTTTTCTCTGAGGAGGCAAGGGAGGCAGTGCCTCCCCAAAACTTTAGAAGAGAAACAATTGACAGTAGAGAAATGAATAAAACAGAAGCAGAATTATTTACAATTATTATTGCTGCTTTTGACAAATATGGCAATATCACTGAATCATCAGATTTGTTCATGCATTAATGTCTCAGTGTATTTTTTTATTCATACAATGAAAGTAAATGAAGTTCAATCTTGCCTTGACCCCAATTACTTTCAAAATATCGGCTAGGGTGCAAGGAAGTGGCTTGGGAGTAACTCGGATCTTCTGTGTGGTTGCTATAATGTACATCTATGGATTTTTGAGGAGTTTTACATGCTTTACGAAAACCGAAATTCAAATGAGTGAGACAAGATATAGCAAATTGGGTCAAAACAAACTGAAGGTCTATGCTGAGTTTGGTGACTGTAGCTTGAAAACTCTAGGATGGGTTACAGTCAGATATTTTAGTGTCAGAAGAAGAAGCATACATAAAAAATACAATATCAGTATATTGGCATTGTCTAGCCAGCGTTTTAATGTGATCGTTATATAACACACACACACACACACACACACACACAAAAACCACTGCCTAACACTTTATTTTACTTTGTTACATATATTACACATATTTACTATAGTATTAACAGTAAATTGTGTAATTCCAAGAATAAAACAAACTCTAAACCTATAAAAAGCATTTGTTAATTAATATTACTCAGTACTTAAATGTAATTAAACTGTAACAAGGACACATTAAAATAAAGTGTCACCAGAAGCTGAAATCTGTTAGTTCTAATAAAAATCCCTGGGAGACTAAAATGCTTGAAGTTGAAGAGACACCCTTATATCTCTTTTCAACATCTAGCAATTTTAATAAGACAATGGTTTTATGAAGGTGTCATACAGTAGGTACTGTAATTATTTCAATATGAAGAAAGATATCTATTGTATCCACCCACGCTATTGCAAAATAAATTACCCTTTATTACCTTTTCCCCCACAAAACCTGACATTAGCAGAGGAAAGCAAAAGTATTTATTCATTTCTAAAAACAAATCATGTTTTTTACTCATTTGGGCCTTTGTTAACCTACAGCAGTATTTCAGTTCATGGTTTGTAGAGTATTATAGTACAGTACAGTAAGTTGCTTTTTATCTGGTATGGTTGGTCAGAGAAACTTACAAGTCAAAGATGAGGTAATGGTGACCTTCCTCTGAGATGCTGTCATGCAGCCGCACTGGTGAAGGATTGCCATTTGTGGTTTGGATGGAGAAGAAAAAAAGAGATAACATGATTATAAAGTCATTTTTGTTTCATTATTGTTTTCTGACGTTTACAGTCCATTGCCTTGCAAGTACTCACACTTTAACTCTTTCTGGGATTGTTCTTCCCAACAGATTTGCTACAAACTTTTTTCAAATAAGAGCACAGATTCACCTCTGAACTGAGAGCAGAGCTTTAAGCTTTAAGCATTTGCCTGATTGGTAGGCACCTCAAGAGGCTCCTGGAAAAAACTTTGCAAAATAAATTTTATTAATTTAACTGATTATCAGATATGCACGGAAGCACATTTCCGCCACTGAATAAAAATAAAAAAGGTAACTGTGACTTTCTATCTAGTTGTTATTCTCCCACTACTTCTGCATTGCAATATATGGCAGTCCATTGAAATGTATGGTAAAAGGTTAGCACATTGATTAAGGAGGGTTTAAATATCAACTTGAGCAATTTTAGTGTCAAATGTGATGTTGATGTTGTTGATGCTACTGCAGCACATTGCCATTTTCCTTCTAGAGAATTCCTCAGATTGTCAACAGATTTGGCTCAAAACTGAAAATGGTGCAGACCATGCTGACCAAAAGCTATCAAAAGCTTTTCGATATACCAAACAGGAGTGTGTTTCCCAAAAGCATTGATAGCCAACTGGAAGTTCTGATATTACTAACCTAATTGAACAATTCTGTATTTCCTGTAACTGTTTGGCAAGACTTTGGCATATTGAAACTTGGTCATACCCAGAGGGCACCTGAGCCGTTAGAGGCTAGTAAAATGAAACCAGAAAAATGACTTATAATGTCTAAATAGTTTGGCCTAAAATAATACTACTAGTCACCAGATTGCTTTGTTCATTAATGCCAGCTATATTTATAATTAGCTTTATATAAACACAAGTTCACCTCATTTAGATAGCTAAGTAGCACATTCTTCTACTAGGGATGAGCAGTTCACAGATCTTATGCATTAAATCACACACGTAGCCAACAAACCAATAAGAATGCAGAGCAATAATGACAAATTAATAGCAGCACAGGGCTGTTGTGAATCCACTGACCTAATTTACGTTTACAATTACGTACATAGTTTCAATGTTTTATTATGTAAGCTCTATGAAACACCTCAAATGACAAGGGAAATTATAGTAATGTTAATAATAATTATCCAGTCTGCGAACTCATTCTCCCAAATGGCTTGGGTATTGCAGAGCATTCGCAGCTTTTATGTACTGAACACCCTTGGTGCATAGAGAAAAACACATTTATTTAAGGGGGTCAGTGCTGGGTAGATTACTTACAGATTGTAGTCCATTGCTGATTACAAATTACGTGACAAAAATCGTAGTTAGCAACATAATCTGGATTACACTTATTAGGTAATGTAATTTGACTACTTTCTGATTACTTAGTTTTGAAAGTCATTTATCAAATAGACTTGAATGGTATCATATTGGGGTTCATGAAAAAATGGTGTGGTGTTGATGAAAAGCTAATAATGAATGAAATCATAAAAATGCCAAATTAAAATGAATTAAAATTTGTCAATGTGACCAATGTGACAATGTGACCATTGACATCAGAGAGCTGGGAACATGCAGTTATGTTGTTAAATTGTTGACATCTCAGTGGGACTTCAAGTAAATATTGTAGATCACAGGGGTTTGGCTCACAAAAAAAGCTTGGGTATCCCTACATTACATGAACAAACATTAATAAACATGAAAACGCTACATTACATGGCCAAAATCTTCCTGGTTTGAAATGTTTTTGTCCAGAATTCCAATATTAATGATTAGTGAAGTTCAGTGTATATAATGAAAACGTAGTATTTCACAGCTACACATTGGCAGTGTTTAGTAACTTGCATAATTATTAGTCTCATGTACATGGTAGGTTTATTAAGAAAATTGCATTTCAATAAATTTACTCATTGTGTGAATAATATGTAATAATGTAATCCATAAAAAAAAGTAACTGTAATCTGATTATGAGCATTTTATAACGAAATATAATCCAGTTATAAGTACTTACTTTTTCAAATCTGATTACGTAATCCAGATTACATGTAATCAGTTACTATCCAGCACTGGAGGAGGTCAATGAGAATTCACCCCCTATTCACCCATAATTTAATCAGTGTTGGGGGTAACGCATTAAAAGTAATGCAAGTTACGTAATCAGATTACTTTTTTCCAAGTAACTTTTACATTTACAAGAAAATATCTTGAGTTACTTTTTAAAATAAGTAACGCAAGTTACTTTGTTTTCCTATTTGTTCACTGACACATCTCCTGTCCTCATGTTGAGAGAAATTAGGAGTGCGGTGCAGCGGCACTTGCTTCAGCCTGAGGCTTATTCATTTCACTTTTGGTGTGAAAGGGCCTTTACAGTTGACAAATATATATATTAACAAATAGTGAAAAATTTAAGGGGGTCTGAATACTTTCCGTACCCACTGTATATATTTTTTTTATTATAAATAAATAAGCAAGCCCAGCTCAGGTGACAAAAAGTAACATAAAGTAACATAAAAAGTAACATAATGCATTAATCTCCATAAAAAGTAACTAACTAACACAATTAGTTATTTTTTTATTGGATAACGCAATATTGTAATGCATTACTCTTAAAAGTAACTTACCCCAAAACTGATTTTAAATATTTTAAATATAGGCCAACAGTGGCTTATCAGCATATACCCAATGTTTGGAAAACAATTCAAGAGATAACAGTGAATTACCATGAAATTAACTGTACTTTTTAAAAATACTACTCAGATTTATACACATTATAATTCCCTCAAGCTGATTTGCCTATGCAGGAATGTTTGCTTAAAGGCTTGTTCACACCGAGACGATTATCGCGCGACGTGACTAAACAAAGGGCGCCAATGTGAGTGTGCACACCAACGTGCAAAATGGCAGGCATAAAAGCGTAATTTTTAAAAAAACGCCTCGGACTCGTTTTTTTTTGGTTTGACACGCAGCGTTAAAAAATGGCTGACCAATGAGATTGGCGCTTTTGTTCACGTGCCTGGAGCTGCTGAAGTTACAGTAAAACACGACTTGGTAGCGCTCCAGCACAAAACGGTCTTGCCGAGCACATTGATAATGATGAAGAGGAAGTAAGTAGACAAAGAAGATGCATCGAGGCAAGATGAATGTAGAGCTGCTGGTCTCATTGTTGCCTGAACACAAAGAGCTTTATGACAAACGCGACACAAATCTTGATTAGAGGGAGTTGTTATGGAGAGGAATTGTAGATCAAATAGGATTCGATGTGTATTTTTTATATATTTAAATTTCTTATATATATTTTTCATTAAGCGCCATCTAAAGTCAGGGAGGGAATTTACACGTTCACTCGGCTCATCGCCAGCGAAAATCGCTTTGGTATGAACACAAAGACGCGTCGAAAAACGTCTTGGAAAACGCTGGCGATAAGCGCGCGCGATAATCGTCCCGGTGTGCACGAGGCTTAAGGCAGCGGTTCTCAATTCCAGTCCTCGCGACCCCCTGTTCTGCATATTTTGTATGTCTCTCTTATTTAACACACCTGATTCAGATAACCAGCTTGTTAGAAGAGAGCTCCATGCATGAACTATGTTCCGATTGACATGGTCCCTACACCGTGTTCTTTGCTCCCTATTCCCTGAGCATGGGAAATCCGTTGAAGTTTACTTCACTTCGGAATATTCATTCACGGGTTTGCGCTACGCCGCTGCCTGGAATATCTTCACAAACAGACAAACTTACTAGAGAAGTGTGAAGTGTGGCATAATATACCTCTGTAAACAAAAACAATTTAACTTCACGTCTCGCACACTTTAATGCTCTTTGAATGGAACATATACACTTCCTTTGAACTGGAATCATTGCGGAGTCCTGTGAAGTCCACTTACGGTCGAATAGAACAAACGTCTGAAGTGATAAGAGATACATACTAAATGTGCAGAGCTGGGGTCGCGGGGACTGGAATTGGGAACTGCTGTCTTAAGGTAAATGCTCAGCATTAAGCAAGATAAAAGGAGGAACCTAGAAAAATCTCCACAATCTCAAAAAATGGAGGAATCAAGCTATATGCAGAATAACAAGGCCCCAGGGTCAGACGTTTCTGTGTCGAGTTCTACAAAACGTTCTCCTCACAACTGACCTCACTGCTCATTAGCATGTTTAATTATTTTTATGAACAATCAGAATTGCCATCAAGCCTCACAGAGGCTCTCATTACACTTTTCCTGAAGCCGGGCAAAGATGAACTAGATTGTAGCTCCTAAGACCTATTTCTCCATTAAATGTCAAAAATATTATTTAAAATCTATCAAATACAACATATAATAGAGTTTTGATTTGTTTTGGCCCAAATTTAAATTATTGGGTTCGCCCACTGTATGCTTCCACATCTGCAGCCATGAATAAAACATGTTCACGACATTTCCAGTTAGCTTCTCTATTATTTTCTCAGTGGTTGGAAGGACTTACAGTACTGTAGTATTTAATTTAACTTCTTCAAATCTGCAGTGTTTTGGCCGTGATATCATTTGTGTGTGCCAGCCTGTAGGGAGTCTGAGCAGTGCATATGGCTGTGTGTTTTCCTTTAACTGGCTCTGTTTTAAGAGCTCTGTGCTCACCAAATTGCATTTACCAAGCTCTGTTGTGGATGCTGTGGCTCAGCTTAGCAAGTTGTTCACACTTTGTTCACAGATGACTTACACTGGGAATGTGTACAAACATCCTTTGCATGTTGTGCTCACTTGAATTTGGCCAAGCAATCTAAATGTCCACCAGGACTACACAATGTCACATTTAACCACTCAAACTCTCTCTCAGAATTTAACAGGCTGAATGTTTTTTTTTTTCACGACACTTAGCACCAGTATACAGTATTGTTACGTCAATATAAAATTCTACAGTCCATTGTTCATCGTCTCTACAATAAGTGTAAGTTAATAGGCCTAGGGAAATAAGGAGTTAATACACTCTTAAAAATAACGGTGCTTCAAAAGGTTCTTCAAGCGA